AATTTATGTCAAATCCTATTTGACTTGACAAATCCTATTTTACTGTAAATTTACACAGACTTTTTTTCCAACGGGAAATACCTTACTTGTAAGAATTTCATTTTAGTACAAAGGGAAAGCTGTATTATGTATTAGGCATGGTGAATCTTCAAAAAAAAAAAAAAAAGTCATTTTGCACAGATAGATCTTCTATCTGGGATATTAAAACTAGCTAAAATTTATGTTTCTTTCTGAAAACAAAAGATAGTGATCCTCTCATTTGACAGGCTTTGCGGACATGTTTCAATCCAAAACTTCGTAATTTTAATTTTTTTTTCTTTTTTTCTGAAAGAAAACACAAAACTAATGACATTCATATCAGTGTTGAATGCACAGATTTGTATGGCAGAGAATGTATGAAAATGGTTTCATTCATCCACTTGTTCATCCAAAACCCTTTTGCCTGTAGAGTAAGTTCTAATAAAAAGTTTGAGAGTCCTTGAAGCTGTTGCTCAGGAAAAACCTTTCTAATCCTTACCTGAACCATCCAGACAAAATTGTTTAAAGCATATGTAAAGCTTTCACTGCCTCTGCTTTACTTGCACTTTAACAATAATCAGCTCCCTTGAGGTCAAGAGAGCTTCTTTGATGAAGGATTCGCTTCTTCAATTTCAACTTTTAAAAAAACTGTGCAGGAGTACATTTGACCTATGTGAAGATCCGTGTAAGTCTGGCACTTTAAAAACAGGAAGACAAGCAAGAAGAGAAATGTTCTCGAAATCTTGCCGTTGCTAACCTTACTGCAAATGGGGAAGACAAAAAGTACAGTCTTCGTGCTGTACAAAAGACACTGTTACTCATCTTTGCTAAATTTGCGCTTTGCCTCTCATTTCTCATCATCACAGCTGCTTGCTCTCGACGTGGTGGCGGTGGATGCCACATGCAGCATGGCACAGTGATAACAAGAACTAAGCTACCAGGGGAAAATTATTCAAAATCAGTTTGCAAATGAGGTGGTGAACGTAGAGGTGGGGGGTTCACAGGAAAAGGCCCATTTTTTTTTCCTTCTTGGAGTTGTGAAACATTCAAGTGCCAAAGTCCTGGGGGCGTTGAAGGGACTTTCCCAAGAGTAGCACAGAAATTTCACTCTGCCTTTACTCCATCTCCCAGTGGCTGCGTCCTCCCTCCGTCCCCAACCCCCTGGAGCTCCCACCCCCAAAACACCTTCACACAATTCGTGTCCCTGTAAGGAGCGAGAAGTTTGTCACCCGCTCCCACACAGCTGGAACTGCACCCTAAGGAACAGCCCAGCACAGCACTTCTCCTGCCACCTTTTTCTCCTTTTACCTTCCACAGAGGAAAACTAGTCGGTACCTGTGGTGACCCAAAGGGCTGGTATTTGACTAATCAAATCTCTTGCAACCAGAGAAGTCAGAACCTTGAATTGTTTAATAAGGCTAAGAAATAATTACTGGCTAATGGCCTAATATAGCATAAAATGAACCCACTAACTGCTGGCTTACAAAACATCCTGGCATCTGTGTGTGCTGAGGCAGAACACAGTTGTCAGAGGATTTAATTTCTTTCCTTCTTCTACAGAAAGAGTAATTAGGACCAGCCCAAACAGGATGATATACTGGCCTCTGTCCCTGCCTGGCATTGTTTCTATGTGCTAAAGAGACCCTTGGTAATTGTCTCCGAATAATATTCCAAGCAAAACGCTTCAAACTACTTAGTACAGAGGCTGTTGTTGTTGTTGTTGACAAAAGACACACAAGAGACATCCCTGTCAAATGAAAAACATTGTGCAAAAATGTAATTTTGGAACTGATGTTGTGGAAAGGGTTTAAAACATCCACACAGGTAGACATGATGACCACGTATCCTTTCTTTGCTTTAATCAAATATTCTTTGTAAGATCTTCAAGAAAATACAGGTGAAACAGATTGTCTGATGAAAATATTACCTTCTCATAAAACACACAACCCCTCTCTTAAATATGCTTACTGCTTTAGACAGTATTTCCATGAGAGAAGTGGTCTGGATTACATTTATTTAAAACTGTTCAAGACAAAGGAATAACACAAACTGATCACAGGGTCTGTTCTAGGTCCAACCTGGTCTCCTCAGCATTTTTAGGAGAGATCTTCATTCCTCCCAGGCACCAAGGGTCAACCAAGACCCAACTTGCCTGTCAGCATCCTGAAGGAAGGGCCGGATCTTGCTGGGCGCTGCACTCTCCCAAGCGCCGCTGGTTCAGTGAGCCAGGAATAGTTGTCAAGATCTTATCGGGTTGATCTTAAATTGGACCAAGTTGTCTGCTTCTAGGGGGAAGCTGAGTTAATCGCTAACTCCCAGAGCATCTGGGGAGTCTATGGGAGGCTGGCAGAGCAGACAAGGTTGCACAGCATTCAGCTGAGCCTGGCTTAGAATTTGCAAGCGGAAAAAATGACGCCTGGCTCATCAGTACTAAACACGAGTATCCTGATGAATATTTCTCTCCCACTGATAATACCGGTCTTACTTTTTATCCTCAATGTGGAATCAAGTTTATTTTTGGAAGCTTATTTTACAGTTCAATGTGTTTTCAGCAATACTATTTCTAGTTACAATTTAGAGATGATATTTTCTTTCATTCTGATTAATCTGTTAAATAAATATGCAAATATATCGAGTGCTCTATATAAAAAATACATACATACAACAAACAACCCCTCAGATAATAAAACCAAGATTAATAAAAATACGTACTATATTACACATATGAAATGGCCATCTAGTTTTGAAACCATAATGAAACTTAATTACACATGAATCACACGACAGAATCTAAAAAGAATCAGCATATATAAAATAATGGCATTGCCTTTGTAAATAGAAATTGAGCATCTCCCTATTTAAAAATATAAAAAGAAGCCAACCAGTGTTGTCTGTGCATTTGTAGCTACTGAACGTTAGATAAATTAGGAAGGAGTTTGTGGAATTCCTCATTAAACATCTGAATAGGGAGATGAATAATGTGCCACAGCCTTTTTCTTTTTTTTTTTTAAAGAAAAATTTAGCCTTCAAGATAATGAAATATCTCCTTTTGATTGAGACCTATATTCAATCAGGATTTAAAGACAGAAATAATTCTTACTCTGGATCTCCATACTTAGCGAAATGAGTACATAACACCAGTTTAAACACAGCCTTCAACAGATCATTTGGATTTATAATGACAAATAGAAAAGCTTGCTTAAAAAAATTACAGGAATTAACTGAAAATCAATGCACAGAGTCAACAGACTTCCCACTACACAGTTCAGCTCTAAAACACATGAAAGGACTGAGAAGTTTGACAGTGGACCACAAGTGCTGACAGTGTAAATCACATTGACCCCATTAGCTTCAGCTTATTTGAACACCTTTGGACCACAAGCTGTGTGGCTGTTCATAGATGAAACATATTGACCTAAAGCCAGAAAACATCCTATGTGTACTTCAAAATCACACCTTGTCTTGGGACCTTTTGCCCAGGCATAAATTACCCCTGGGGAGATCTGCCTGCAGATACCAGGGCACTGAGCAACTCGATGAAACACATGGGAAACTGCTGGAGGGCTGTGACTGAGAAATACAATAAACAGTCTTGTGCTTTCTGTTCCAGTAAAGATCAGTGCTAGCTAACGATAGTATTTACCCAGCTGAATACTCATCCTCCAAATTGCTTCAGAGGGAGAACATAAAATAACATGCTTTAGCAGAACAGTTTCAAAGACAGGTGCTATGGTCAGTGAACAGGAACACTTGAACAAGCCTGCTCCAGGACATTCCCCATCCCACGATCGACACAGAAGGCTGGTTGCAATTACCTTAGGTTGTTCTCACTTGCTTTTTCTTGAGGCAGCCCAATTAGAAGTTATCATTCTCCCTCTATTCCAATACGCTTTCTTAAAAATGGCACAGACCACTGGTAGTAAATAATTTTCTTTCTGACAGTTCATATCAATATAATGCACAGCATCATAGCTTAATACAAATACTTTACATAACAGACACATAAGGACAAAACAAAAGCATATAACAATGCAGCTGCAGCTACTTTATTACATGGCTGGGAGAGTTTCCTTTAATTTTCTTTGATCTTTTCTGTAGACTTTGAACTTCTGGTACCAACAAGCAAGCAATGTTTCTTTTGGTATTTTTAAAAAGCAGAGGGAAAAACGTGGATGAAATCGAATTCAGAGGAAGTGAGTGAGATCATAGAAAGGCAACCTTTACAATATCAGCAAACTGGTGTAATATAACAGTTATAGGGGAAACAAGTTTTACTAGGCTCAGCATCTCCTAAGTAAAACGGAGCAGAAGATGGAGATCTGTTCTTCAGGAATAAAATACTGTCATCTTCCCTAATGATCTCCAATTGCTTGATTTGTGCATGTCTGATAGAGCTGGGGTCATTCTGTTTTATTCATTATCCTAACTAACACACTCATTAAAAACATGCACAAACTGTGACCAATGAAGGAGGGAGGGGGAAGAGCAACAAACACCTTCAAAAACTCAAGAATAACTGTACAGATTGGTAGGATAATAAAATATAGACGTTTATTATGTTTCAGCTTGTGTTTTCATCTCTTTATTCCCCCTCCCAAGAAGACTTGCTGTATGCCCACAGACATTTAAAAATAGAGATAAATAAATTTTATGCTTTGGGGTTTCCCTCATTGGACCAAGCCATAAATCATCATGAAATATCACTTTTTGTTTATACTGGCAGACTCCGAATGCACCTACTGCTCTTCCTGTTGGCATTTCTGAAGGATTCTGATGTTTTAGACATTGTATAGGAGGTCATTTTGGTTTAAATTTGACTTTTGCTCTTGACATTTGTTCCTCACTTACTCTTGTACCATGGCAAGTTCAGTACCTCAAATGCCTGTAAGATGGAGTGACTGGATACTTCTGTAGCTCCGCACAGTGAAGACTCTCCATCTGGGAAACAATGACATCAACTTGTATCCCTCCTAACACCCAGGACACAGTGAGTGTCCTCTGTGTAGGAACTGGGAACCGAAGACCGTATGCAACTCTTAGGGGCTTATTTGAGAAAGCAAATGTCAATTTTGTAACTCAGACATCATTTTAAAGTGATTAAAAATGAGTAAAACTTATGTTTAATTCTGTTCAAAAGACATCAGTAGCACAGTGCATCTGTGAATTCCTGTCCAAGTTCCATGTGATTTTGATTTCCCCAGCTCTGACCTATTTGGCAATTTGGTACCATTACACTCCACTCTTCATGTCAAGCTCCTGATGATTTTGTGTTTCATTAACGGTCAGGAATTCGTCACATGCTCCTGTTCGGTCATTTGACTGTTCTTTATGAACCAAGTGCACCATTTCTTGTGATTTGCTGGCATCTCCATTTAATCCACTTGTCTTTCTGTCCTCCACTGCCCCTTTGCCATTGTTAATCACTAGCTTTTTCTTCTGCCCACATCTAGAAAGAAATAAAAAGAAAATAAGTACTATAAACGGAGACTAACAGAAATAAGAAAAAAAATTGAAAGTCAGTATTTAGGAAAAGGTGCTTAGACATGAAAATTGTGTCTGCCAGAGCAGAGGAAATGAAACTTGTGTCTGCCAGTGCAGACTTATACAATGCAAAGTGTAAAGTTTCTCCATATTGCATATTTTATTTTTGAAAGTATCCACCGTTACATGCATAAAACTTGGCAGGAGCTCACTTACTGGATTTATATCTGTCATTACAGATAGGAATAACATTAATTACTGAAAGCTAGAAAAGATTGCCTAACATTTGGATAGATTCACATTTATGAACTTTGTATATATCCCACTATAAGGACAGGATCATTCTGAACCAAGACTTGGGCCCACACCTTTGAAAATGCTCAAGTTCTTGAGATAGCAGAAAATTTGGATCAAGCTCTCACCTCATTATAGATAAATTTTTCCTTCTTTGTATTAGCATGTCAGGCCTAGAAGCCTGCCAACAGCAAGGAAATATAGAAAACTACTCTTGGTACTATCAACAGCATAGCTCCTTATGACATTAAGGTAGGAAATCGCTACTGTGCTTTTAAAGCTACACTCACTGCAGTGCTGCCCCATAAACTCTGTATGTAGCTCTGGATGAACACATACACACACACACACACACACACTCTTTTGAAAAGTCACCAGTCCAAAAGTGATGCATGCTGGTCAACGTGGGCTGAGTTTCTTCAGGGTAGTAAAAACCTACTAGTTACACAGATGTCAGATTTTCCCTAGACTGTTAAAATGGTTCTCTGGCTACACACTGCTAAACATCCTACTTGTCCTTGAAGAGCCTTGTGTAAACTGAATATACAAAGCACAGCTCTCTTTAGAGGGACAATGGGTCTGCGAAGTTGTACTTTAAGTGCTTTCTTCTAAAATGAAGCACATTTTGCCTGAGTGACTAATTTGGCAGCTCAATCATACTATTATCCTTCTGAAACATTACTTTTTTCAGGCTTACTGACCAATAGATGAGGGTTATTTTATCTGAAGTAGCTCAGTTCACCGTGCTAATGCTACACACAGCCTTGGGAATCCAT